GTGAAATATATTAGGTAATAAATTAGTTGTCTTTTTAAAAAAATTTTTAAAAATCAGAGGGCATAGCCAGACTGTGGTGGCACATGCTTTTAATCTCAGCACTCGGGAGGCAGAGGCAGGAGGATCTCTGTGAGTTCCAGGACAGTCAGAGACACATAGTGAGATTCTGTTCAAAGCATACACACATACACACAGAGCAAGCAAGCGAGAGAGAGACAGAGAGAGAGATAGACACATACAGAAAGACAGGCAGACATAGAGACTCATAGACACACACAGAGACAGACACACAGACACAGACACAGATGCAGACACACACATACACACACACACACACACACACACACACACACACACACACACAATTGAGTGCCAGCAAGATGGCTTAACAGGTAAAGGCACTTGCCAAGTTTGATGACCTGAGTTTGACCCTTGATACGTTGTGGAAGGAGAGAACCCACTCCCGCAAGTTGTCCTCTGACCACTATACATGCACTATGGCACAGGTACCCACATACCAACACAACAAATAAAATAACTGCAATACAAACTAATTTTTTAAAAATTGAAGGTGGGGCTTAAGAGATGGCTCAGTAGTTAAAAGCACTGGCTGCTTTTGTAGAGGACTGGAGTTGGGTTCTCAGCACCTACATAGTGGCTTACAACCATCTGTAACTACAGTTCCAGGGGATCTGATGCCCTCTTTTGGCCTCTGTGGGCATCATATGCATGTGGTGCACTCACATACATGTAGGCAAAACACTCATACACAGGAAATAAAAATAAATAAAAATTTTAAAAATTGAATGCAGTGCTGATTGAAATAAAAGTTTTTCACACGCTAAACACATGCTTTATTATTGAGCTACACCCCAGGCCCAATAGATGAGTTTTGTGTGTATGTGTGTGTATTGTATATGTACTTGTTAGTGTGTACAGATGTGTGCATGCGTGTGTGCATGTGTGTGTGTCTGTGTGTGGAGGCCAGACGTCAATAGCAGGTGTATTTTCTCTATTGCTTGCCATCATTTTTTTAAAATATTTTTTTTTTGGTCTTTTTGAGACAGGGTCTCCCTGTAGCCCCAGCTGGCCTGAAACTCACTATGTAGACCAGGCTGGCCTTGAACTCACAGAGATCCACCTGCCTCTGCCTCCTGAGTGCTTAAAATATTTTATTTATTTTTTTATGTGTATGCGTGTATTGCCTGCATGTAGGTAAGTGCACCATGTCGTGCAATGCCTGCAGAAGACACAAGAGGCTGTTGGATCCCCTGGAACTGGAGTTATGGACAGTTGTTAGCTGCCATGTGGGTGCTGGGATTCGAACCCGGGTCTTCTGCAAGAACAGCCAGTGTTCTTAACTGCTGAGCCATCTCTCCAGCCCTCCATTATTATTTTTTGAGAGAGTCTCTCACTGAACCTGAAGGTCATCGATTCAGCTAGGCTGGCTGGCCAGTGGGCTTCAAGGATTAGTCTGTGTACTTCCCCACCCCCATGTTGGAGCCACAGGTATGTACCACTGTTCTCCTCATCTACATGGGTACTGGGGATCTGAATGCAGGTCCTCATGCTTGCATGGCAGGGACTTCACTAACTGAGCCATCTCCCCAGCCCTCCCCCAATAGATCAGTTTTGAAAAGAGAAACAGAGGAATTATGTGAGGATGCCTAGGAGCCAGAAGTAGATGGGGAACCATATGAGCATCCAGTGACCGGGAGCGGGAGTACATCCAGTGGCAGGAACCACATGTGTGCTAATTGGGAATTGCATTTGTGTTAACTGAGGGGAACTGTGTGAGCACCCACTGAAGGAGAACTACATGGGTGTCAAATAAAGGGACTTTGTAAGTGCCCACTGAAGAGGAATCATTTACGTTCCAACTGAGGGAACCTGTGAGCATTGACTGAAGGAGACCCACATTTGTGCCAACTGAGAAGTACCATGTGAGCACACCCTGACAGGGAGCTACGTATGTGCTGATGACAGGGAGCTACGTGTGTGCTGATGACAGGGAGCTACGTATGTGCTGATAGGATTTCAAGTCCCCATTGCAGACTTGTTTTTCTCCCCAGCACTGCCTTTGGGGCTTTGCCTTGTTGTAATATTGACATCTAACTCAGGGATACTCATGACTTTTGGCATTTGCAAAGCCAGTCTCAGACACACCTGTCTATAGGCACCTTAGAGTGTCCATGTGATATCCTTGTCACCTTCTGCCTTCCCAGATCCCATCTTGTCATTTTCCCCAAGATACTTGTGTTCCCAGACTTACCAACCAAAAGGCTGATGCTTCAGATGAGGGGCTACCCTACAACATGTAGCCCAGGAGGATTCTGACCTAGCTCTTTCCTGATCTCTGGTCCAACTCCCACACAGGGGCTTCTCCACAGACCCAGCAGGCTCAGCCAAGGGTGTGGTGGAAGGGGAAGTACTGACTTGAAGGACCTGAGATGGAGAAAGTGTCCCCTTGGGCCCTAGAATCATACTAAGTTTCTCCGTGAGTATCTCTTGGCATGTGGCCCCGCAGCTGCTTAGCCTTGAGCTGCAGATGACTATTCCTGGTGGGAAAATGTGCACAGCATGGGCATGCACCTTAGAAACTTGTATGGCTCTGTTCGAAGTTTTGCTTCTGTTGAATCCAGTAAAGAAATAATAAGGAATTACCAGAAAGAAATAGGCCTGCATTTTATATCTTGCAAATTTTCATTATTTAGTGAAGTTTTTCAACTATTCTTTACCTAAGTATAGCTCTGTGACAGGTTGTAAATTCTAGAGCAAGAGTCATTTACCACAGAGTGTGGACTGGTACAGCCTTGGCTGGGGCTACCAGGTGGGTATTGCCTTAAAACTTAGGGACATCAGCCGGGTATGGTGGTGCACGCCTTTAATTCCAGCGCTCAGGAGGTAGAGGCAGGCAGATCTCTGTGAATTGGAGACCAGCCTGGTCTACATAGTGAGGCCAGCTGGAGCTACAGGGAGACATCTGTCTCAAAAAAAAAAACAAAACCAAAACAAACAAACACAATATAGGGACATCAGAGCCATGGGCATTCTTCTGGTGGTTGCAGTGAGTCTTGAGGAATGTTCTGGGTTAACTAGTGTGTGCACACTCTCACTTTACCAAAGGCTGTGTCAGAGACCCATGTGAGAAATCACCACATGGAAGTTGAAATCCAGTGACCAGCTTAATGCTGTTCCTGAAAAACGAATGTCGAGAGACTTTCAGGAGCCCAAGGAGTGAACATAGTTCTCTCCTCTCCACTTCATACTCTGCTGATCCATCAGGACACAGTCAGCTCTGGTTCCTAGGCCGCAGCTCACGAGGGAAAATGACGACAGCAGCAGATGAGAATGGAAGTTTGGCAAATGCCCCAGCACCAAATAAAGAGAACAGAAAGCAGGAAGCAGGCAGCCTTCAGGCCCTACTCCTATACCAATGGGGTGATTGGGAAGTCAGGGGCTTTTTCTCCAGGAGTGGGAAACAGTTGAACGTACAGTCCATCACAAAGGGAAGATCTACAAGAAAGCTAAAGCCATTTCCAAATGTCTCGATCAGAGGGGTATGACTAAGATATGGCACGGACGTCTCCACCTGCTGCAGAGCTTGCTAGATCTGTCCTGGACCATTTGTGATGAGAGGCCAAGGAGCGAGCCCTTGTTTCCTCTGTATGGAGAGGCCCTGCACAGGATCCTGGGCTACAGTCATGGAATCAGCTACTTTCCAGGTCCACTCAGTTATGCTCCTGCTGCTTCCATATACCCTCAGCCTCCTCCTGGGTACCTCCCAACACCTGTGTACTCCGTGGTACAGGATCCTCAGGAATTCCAGTGGCAGCCCTGTAACATGAACCCTCCATACCCACTTCCTGCCATGGTCCCAGAAGACCCCAGCCCCAAGAAGCCATGATCAACCTCTTGTGACCAACCAGATCCTCAAAATGAAGACTCTCTGAGGAGCAGAATTGTGCAATTTTGTAACTGGTGGCTGGTTGTTCCACTTACTATGAGAATAAAGTATGGAATTAAATGTGAAAAAAAAAGAATGTCATTAGTAGGTGGGATGCTGGCCCCTTGTTCACTCTAGGAAGACAGCCTGAGCTGCCACTGGCTACCACATACAAACATCAGATTAAAACAAACAAAAAACAGGCTTGCTGGCTGGGCACAGTGGTACACACCTTTAATCCCAGCACTCGGGAGGCAGAGGCAGACGGATCTCTGTGAGTTCGAGGCCAGCCTGGTCTACATAGTGAGTTCCAGGACAGCTGAGGCTACAGGGAGACCCTGTCTCAAAAAAAACAAAAAAAAGAAAAACAACCCCCCCCCAAAACCGGGCTTGCTTTGTCCAAAATAGTCAACGTCACAAAGCAAAAGGCAAGTTCAAGCTCACCAAAGAGACACCTCATGTAGCACGAACTCTAGGCTAGACCGGATCCAGATGCACCAGGCTGGGCACGCTGCCACACAGCTATAGGGAGAAACTCGGAAAGGCTGGCCTCAAGGTGGCTGCAGGAAACAGCACTGGAGAAAATGGCCATGAAGCCTGCAACTCTGCAATACTTCAGAACAATAGTGTCCACGCAAGTATGTGTATGTGCATACAGTGGGCACACAAGAAAACATGCGTAAGCACATGTAGGAATATAGGTCTGCATGTGTGCGGGAGTACACACAGTATACATGTGTGTACGTGCAAATGTATACTCCTGTGGATAAACTGAGGTGTCAAGCACCTGGGTTTTTTTCTTTTAAAAATATGGAACACTTGGGGCTGGAGAGATGGCTCAGCGGTTAAGAGCACTGACTGCTCTTGCAGAGGACCTGGGCTCAATTCCCAGCACCCACATGGTGGCTACAAACCGTCCTTAACTCCAGTTCTAGGGGAATCTGAAGCCCTCTTCTGACCTCCATAGCATTGCATGACGTGGGTGCACTCACATACATGCAGGCAATACACAAATACACATAAAATTTAAAAAAATTAAAAGAAAATAAAAAATATAAATACGGAACACTTCATGAATTTGTGTGTCATCTTTGCACGGGGTCATCCATGCTAATCATCTCTGCGTTGTTCCCATTTTAGCATCTGTGCTGCCCAAGCTAGCACAGCATCAATACTGTAAATCTGCTGCTGCGAAGTTCATCTCGAACTGAAAGCTAAGCACAGGCACTTGTGATAAAAAGGGTTGGTGCAGGTGGGACATGATGGCCCAGGGTTCTGCTCAGGGAGACTCAGGATAGCAGTGATGTATGGCTTGGGGTAGGGCATCTGGTACATTCTCGGCTGTGCTTAAGTACCTAGTGAGCAGCAACGGCCACCCCTCTGTGGGGATGTAGGGGTCTCTGTGGACTTTGTAGACAGATTTGCATCTGGAGTGGGGCCTGGTAGGGTGAGCTGGGTGGCCAGGGCAGGGTGGAGCTATATGGGATGTCAGGTTGCAGGCCACACTCACTCCCAGACTCCCCTTCTCCTAGTCGTGCGTTGGTGCCATCAGAACTCTCCATACCAGTGATATCGGTACGAAAGGTTGAATTTACCACCTAAGAATTTTAGGAATTTCCTTACTCTGAAAAGAAAATTTGTTCAAAACCTCCCTTCATATTTTCAATTGCCTGGATTTGAATTTTTGTCCCGTTCAGAGCAGCCATGGCTTCTTAAGACCTGCATGTACGTGAGGAATGCTTGTCACTTCAGGCAGTGCAGCCAGTCTTCATTCCCTTGGGTATTCAGGCCGAGTCAGCATCATAGTGAAGTCCTGGGAAGGTGGTGAGAGGCCAATGGCTCCTTCGGGCTGAGCCGTGGGGAACGCTCCCCACCTGGAGGGCTGATCAAGGGTGATTCAGGCCCACGGGGGAGCATCATGCAGTGACAGGTCAGTAGAGGTGGCTGGTGCAGAGGGCTTTGGGCCAATTTGGCTGCCCCACCGCCTGCCCACTTACTGAGCCCGGGTTCTTGGTCTTCCATCTGTTCTGGGGCTTCTAGATGTTTTTCTAATGATCTTCTGGAGCTGATGGGCAGGAGGGTACAAGGGTCCCTAGCACTGTTACTCTGCCTTCTGGGCTCATCCTCCTGTGTTCTCAGTGTCGGGCCTACACCAAGCAGCTGCCTGGATGCTGCGGACTTTGCTGAGGTTAAACACTATGGTCTCTCCAGTAGTCTACTGTCAGTAGTTGATTCTGTTTGCTGTTGGGAAACAGAACTCGGCTGTACACCCATTTTTGAAAAGCTCACTAAGCAATTGTAAGGGAATACTCGACTTTACAGTTTTCATCCATGGAAAATTTAAAGCTAAAAATGAAATCTCTGCCAGATGGCAGCAAGTTTTGACTCTTGGAGATGGAAACCCAACGGGGAGGGAGGTGGAGGATGAGCCCAGGTCTGGGGGCTGTGCAGTCGGCTCAGCAGGGCCACGAGGAGGGCCAGTGCTGGCACTACTGGAAACAAGGATTTGGATGTGGGCGCCAAGGTGCTCACGAGGGGAGACAGAGTCTCTCTAAGTGGTATTTGGGCACTCGTTTGAGAAAGACAGGTCCATGGAAACACTGCAGCCCAGAAGTACAGAGGTGCGCAGGGGACAGATTTGGATGCAGGTTGTAGTCAATGCCAGTGCGTGCTTCATGTGCTCACCGACTGAGGCAGAGACAGGAATGTGCGCCTGCAGCTGATGAGAACAGAAGCACAAACCACAGTGAACTAGTCAGGACGGAGCCAGTGAGGACCAAGGTAGAGGCTAGAGGCCGTAGTTCTTGGTAGGTGGATCTGACTTCAGAACCATGCACACGTATGGAATTGTAAGCAAACGGATTGAAAACCAGTCCCTAAAATGAGCAATAGGATAGTGTGTGTTCAGCTGGATGTGTCCACATAGACTCTCTTGCAAGGGTTCCTGGAGCAGGCTGCTGGTGTGGGGAGACGACGAAGAAGTTAACTATCCACTGGGCTTGGGCCAATTAAGCTTTTTATTGCTGTGATAAAACACTGACCAAACCCAACTTGGGGAGGAAAGGGTTTATTTGACTGACACATCTTGATCCCAGTCCATCACTGAGGGAATCCAAGGCAGGAATCTGGAGGCAGGAGCTGGAGCACAAGCCATGGAGGAACGCTGCTTGCTGGCTTGCTCCCATAGCCCATGCTCAGCCTGCTTTCTCATACAACCCAGGACCACAAGGATGGCACCACCCACAATAGGCTGGGCCTTCCCACATACTTAACAGTCAAATAAATACCTTGGAGAAATGCCCACAGACCAATCTGATAGAAGAAATTCCCCAACTGAGGCTCCCTCTTTCCAGGTGTGTCAAGCTAACAACTGAAGCTTCCAGCACAGGGTCTAATGCTGACTCCTTGACATAGGTATGGGCTGTTTTGTTGTGGGATTTGCCTTTCTCCACCAAGCCTGGCCATAGTTCTCAACAACATGGTCTCCCCTGACACTGGAGAGGCCAGCAGACTCCCACTGTCACTGCCTTGCCTACTAGCCCTCCCTCAGAGCTGGGTACTTGGCCCACAGCTCCGCAGCCACCCTTGTCTCCCTGCCCCATCTCAGTTGGGTGGGATGTTGCTCACGCTCCTCCCTGGGGGCTCTGTCTCATTCTGGGGAAGCTCCCCATTGCAGCCTTAGTCTCCCTGCCCCTTCTACATATCCAGGATCTCTCTGGCCATCTACTGTTGGCAGGCAGGTGACACTTATATCCATCTGAAGTTCTCCATTGTGCCTTCTGACCTGGTCCTATGGCAGGGGTCCACTGTGGAAGCCTTGACCACTCTTGGCCCCTCTATGCCTACTAAATCCTCCCTGCCTTCTGGGCCTGTCTGCCTGGTCCCTACCAGGGCCAAGACCAGCCCCTTGGCCCCTTTGGATAGTGTGAGTGTTGAGATAGATTTTGCTATGTAGATTAGGCCTCCTTACTGCTGGAATTAAGGCATGTGCTAGTGTGCTGAACTGGGACAGACTTTTATTGTATTTTATTTTATTATTAATTAATTAATTAATTAGTCTTTTTGAGACAGGGTCTCCCTGTAGCCCCAGCTGACCTGGAACTCACTATGTAGACCAGGCTGGCCTTGAACTCACAGAGATCCGCCTGCCTCTGCCTCCCAAGTGCTGGGATTAAAGGCATGAGCCACCATGCCCTACTGGGACAGATTCTTAATGGTACTGCTGCTTATGACACAGGGGTTTAGCTGTGCCTGCTGTGCTCTTGGTCACTTGCTCTTTTGTGTGCAATGACACTCCACATGGTTGTGGCTTGATGTGTTATCTTGTAAGAAAAGCAAGACAAGGAGCCATGGTGGCACACACCTGCAACCCCTGCCGGGGCTTCACAGCACAGCCTTACCTCAACACCACCACCAATGGGGGTGGGTTGGAGAAGGGAGTGAGGGAGAGAGAGAAGGGAGGGAGGGAGAGGAAGAAGGGAGGGGAATTGAAGGGGGTGGGGAGAAAAACTGTGATGGTAGGTAAGGGTGATAGTCACTGAGTACACAGTGGGTGTGCTGTGCTGAAGTAGATGGGCATGAGATATAACGGCACAACGCTGCGTACCCGTTAAATGAATCCAGTGCAGAAAGTGACCCAAGGCTGTTCACAGAGCCTAGTAAACTCACTATTTATGGGGATGGAACTGCCACTGTGCCTGTTCTGAGAGACAGCCTTTGCTTATGGGTTGCTGGCTTTCTGCTGCACACAGAACACTGCTAAGGTGCACTTTTAAGGACGCCTAATGGCTCTCAGCCTGTCCCCAGGAGTCATCGATAAACTTGGAGTAGTTGGGTCATGAGGTACAAGCACTGGCCGGTCACCAGGGAACCTCTACATCCGACCTCATCATCCCATCTTCTTTTGAGTTTCTTCAATTGTGTACAGCCTTTGCAACACTCTACTGAATAGACTGCTTGTTTCCTGAGAAATGAATCCAACACGGCAGCTCGGTCTTGCGTGGTCCAGCGCCCTCTAGTGCACCAGAAGTGTGCTATGGCAGAGCCATGTTCTCCCGAGGACACTGCATCACACAAGTAGATAAAAATGCACTTCTTTAGTCCCAGCACTTGAGGGAGGTGGATCTCTGTATGATCAAGGTCAGCCTGGTCTACACAATGAGTTCCAGGCCAGCTGGGGCTACAGAGAGACACTGTCTCAAAAAAATGCACAATGAGACTTCGCTGTTAACCTGGAATTACTCTGTAAAAACTGTAGCTACACAATTTTTTCATACTGCACCTAAAATGACTGTTTCCATACTCACTTCCACATTTTTATAAATTTTTATGTGTTTGAGTTATGCCTGCATATATTTAAGTGCACTATGTGCACACAATGCCACAGAAGCCCAAAGAGGCCGTTGGATCCCCTGGAATTGGAGTTATAAACAGTTGTTAACCACTATGTGGGTGCTAGGAACTGAACCCAGGTCCTCTGCAAGAGCAGTCAATGCATTTAACTGCTGAACCATCTCTCTAGCTCCATATAACACCACTATTCATAGCAAACATCTTGAGAAAACAGTTTGCCCAATCTGAACAAGAATCACACAAATTTCCCATTCACCTGGCTCCACTGAACACATGCAGGATTTGGGGACTGTGAGATGCCTCAGGTGGGAAAGGTGCTTGCTGTCAAGCCTGAAGACCTGAGTTTGATCCCTGGGACCCACAGGAGGACAGCACTCTTGTAAGTGGCCCTCTGACCCCTCTACAGGTATGATGTGGCAAGTGCATGCCCATATACATACACACAAGGGTTTAAGTCCTCCTGGTTACTTCCTTCTAGAATATTCCCTCAGAAACTTACATGGCATGTCTTGTTTACAAACATTAGCTTTAGTGTCCAAGAGTTTTTTCTCTCAAAATTTAGAAATTTGGCAAAAGAAAAATTGCAATGACAAGTGTGTGCATTTTCCTGGTCACATGTAACACATGTGAAGCACGTGAAACACTTCTTAGCAGCTGTGCTTGCCCTGGGACTCTTAATAAAAGCCTCACTTTGCTGGCAGAGGGATGGATGCTCAGAGAAAGGGGGCCCATAAATCTGCACAATTAGTGAGGAGGTAAAAGTGACTTCTGAACCTTGCTGCATATAGGAAATAAGAGTTTATGCAGTGGAC